CTAATTTTCTCCAAACCTGTTGGCTCCTTCTACTTTGGCACTTCCAACTGTATGAGTTTCTACAAAAACTTTTCATTTGGCGAAGACAACTCAGGAGTTTGTAAACTGCCTCTTTGAAGATACTCATGGTCCTTTTTTCAGGTCCCGAGATAAAAAACCTTGACTAGACTTAATTTCAAATCTACAACTTGACCAAGAATCCCTAGATCTTCCAACATATGATAGGCCTGACTCCCTCACCACTATTAATCACACAGATCGTATCCTTACTATTGACCTGGTGGAACACAAAGATCTGAATCAGGAGTCAGGGGATCAAAATTCTGTAAGTTTTTCTTTTCTTGTATCTTTTCTCATCTTGATTTTGTGGGCGGAGGAGGCTGGCCCTAAGCAGCCCCACCCCTATCAATGATTGTTCTCAGTTGAAACTGCCGCGGGGTTGGGCATCCCAAGGCAGTTCAGGGACTTAAGGACTTTGTCAGTTGCATCAACCCTGACTGTCAATCCTGAAGGAAGAGTAGGGGGTTTAGCTGTCCTTTGGAAGGAGGGTTATCAAGTTACCATTTTGTCCTCATTTGCCAGCTACGTAATTCTTAATGTTCAAGATTCTCATTATTCCTAGATCTTTGGATTTATTTATGGAACCCCAATAAAGCATCTTAGAAACAAATTTTGACAGAATCTAAACTGTTACTTTCAGCAAATTACTCTGCCTTTGGCTTTAATTGGTGATTTTAATGAAGTTGCTTCAGTTGACTCTCTTGAACCGTCCACATTCTCTGATAATTCTAAACTTTCTTCTCGACAGTACAGGAACTTCACAATAGATCATAATCTGCTAGATATGAATATTCAGGGAGGAGGGCTTTGTTGGACTAACTAAAGAAGAAATGGTCACATCCAGAGAACCCTTGATAGGGTAGTAGTATCCCCAAACTGGTTAGCAGTTTTCCCTAATGCCACTCTTTCCCTAGGAACTAAATGGGGATCGGATCACCATCCACTAATTTTTAACTTATCCCCCCCCCCCTTTTAGTTAACCTCCCAAAACCCTTTCATTTCTTTGAAATGTGGTTAGCTGATAATTCCTGCAAATAGTTAATAGAGAATAAATGGAATCTGCTTGTTATAGGCTATGCGGCTTACAAGGTAACCAAGAAACTAGATTCCTTGAAGCAGCACCTTATTACCTGGAGGAAATCTCGATTTACGAATCCAAAGATAAAGCTAAAACAATTAGAGGACCAAATCTTACAGGCTGAACAACAGGAAGACTACTCTAATCTTATAGCCTGTACAAAGAGTATGATCATATCAACATCCAATTAGAAAGTTTTTGGACACAAGTATCGCGCCAAAGTTGGCTTCATTTGGGAGATCAAAATACAAAGTTCTTTCATAAAAGTACCCTATTTCGGAGGAAAAGAAACTTTATTGAAGGGGTAAAGGATGACCAAAATGCTTAGAAGACCGATCATGCGATATTTCCCAGATTTTCTTAAGCTACTTCTCATATCTATATTCAAGCCAAGACCCTCTAGATTTGGAAGAATTAGGTCAAGCAATCAGTCCAGTCATCACCAAAGAAGAGAATAGCATGCTTTTATCCACCCCTACTATTGACGAAGTCAATTCAGCCCTTTTTAGCATAGGGAGCTTGAAGTCCCTAAGGCTAGATGGCATGCCAACCTTAGTATATAAGGATTTTTGAGAGTAGATAGGACCAGATTTAGTACTTATGGTCCAGGAGTTCTTTACTAATAAAAAACTCTTGAAAAGGGTGAACCATACCTTTATTTATCTTATTCCAAAAAAAATTGATTGTACGAAGGTTCAGGATTACGGACCAATCAGCCTCTACAATGTCACTTACAAAATAATAGCTAACGTGATAGCGAATCGTATTCGTACTATTCTAGACAAATGTATATCACCCAACCAAGGCAAATGGCAGAAAACTCAATAATCACTCAGGAAATGTTCCATTTCTTGAGGCACAAAAAGAAAGGGACTGGCTACATTGGACTAAAATTGGACATGTCTAAGGCTTATGACCATCTGGAATGGAAATTCCTCCTTAAAATCCTATTCCTTCTTGGGTTTTCAAATGACTTCTGTCAATTAAGGAATGCATTTCTACTGTCTCATTTTCTATCTTGATCAATGGTACCTCAAAAGGTCACTTCTACCCCTCTAGAGGTTTAAGACAGTGAGATCCTCTATCTCCTTATCATTTCATTTTATCTATGGAAGGCTTTTCTAGACTTCTCTATAAAGCCAAGGCAGAAAGGAAAATTCAAGGCATTCCCATCTCCTCCTCCTCCCCCAAGATCTCCCACTTGTTCTTTGCGGATGACATCATGATTTTTCTCAGAGCTCATAGGGAAGAGATTGATAATCTTAACCAAAATTTGAATTCTTTTCTGTCTTTGGTCAATTGATTAATATGGACAAATCAGGAATTTACTGTAGTAGGAATATTCATCCAAGGCTTCAAAAGTTAATAAGAAGACAAGTTAAATTGAAGTCCTTGCCGGAAAATACTAAGCACTTAGGTCTTCCCCTTTTTTGGTCTAGGAGCAAACATGCTCAACTTTCTTTTATCCTAAACAACATAAAGGCTAAATTTGAACAGATGGAGAGCAAAATCTATCAGTTAGGCAGGGAAACAAGTGCTAATCCAATCTGTGCTCCAAGCTACCCCCATTCATGCCATGTCCCTTATAAAGTTCCCAAAGAAAACTATTGACCAATTAGAAATGGCTTTCAAAAATTTTTGGTGGGGTGTTTCAAAAGAAAAAAACTCAGGAGGTCTAGGATTCAAAAACCTCACTCTGTTTAACCGAAGCCTGTTAAAGAATGTCACATGGAATTATCTTAATGAACAACAGACTTTTGGGTTCAAATCTGGAGATCCAAGTATCTCAAAAACAAAGATCTTTTTCTTTCATCCATTCTCACTAAAGGGTCAGTTTATTGGAAATCCATTAGCCTAGAACTTATTGACTTAGCTTCTGAAAGTGCTGTGGTAGTTAATGAAAATTCTTGTTTCCCAATTTGTCAGCGGCCCTGGATCCAAAAAATTCGACAATTTTCTTGGATTCTTTTTCCCTTGGCTCTAAATCTCTGACAGGTGAATCTCTTAGTTAATCCATAATGGCCATTGGAATGTTGAACTCATAAATTCTTTATTTTCCCCTACTGTGGCCCAACACATTTTGGAGACTCCCATCTTTCCAAGTTCTAACTCAATTACTTGGATCTGGCTACCTCATATGTCTGGTACTTTCACAACTAAAAGAGACTACAAAAGTAAGATCACTGCCCTTTGTCTCAACTCTCACCAAATCTCAATTTCTGTATTAAAAAAATTTGGAAGTTAAATATTGCTCCCAGATTTAAACTATTTCTCTGGAGGGTTATGCATGAGTTTGTGCCTGTAAAAGAGAAACTCTGTTTCGAAGATAATCAAAAGATTTGTGTTGAACCTGAAACTTCAGCTGACTTATTCCTTAATTTCCCTTATACTCAAGCTGTTTTGTTTGGCAACCCCTGGAATATTAATTTTCAAAGTATCTTTCAAAACTCGTGGGATACTAATATTCATAATCTTTTCAGCCAAGTGAATGATAACTCATTATCTATGATGATACTGAGTTGGTTTGCTATTGCTCTTTACTTCATCTGGTTTGCTAGAAGTGAGAAGTGCTTTAGAGAGAGAGAGTTATTCAACCTACCAATCTCCTGCATCAAATAAACCACTCAAACACATATTCTGCTTCAACTTCAGATACTACGCATCATTCTTTACCAAGAAGTAGTATTGATAAATGCCAACTTACAGTAAATGCTACAACAGAACTCATTGTTTTCTCTGATGCAGGGAAGATCTCTGATAACATATACAGTTATGGGTTTGTAATTCTTTCTAGGAATTTAACCTGTTTAAAAATTGCTGTTGGTAGAACTGACAAAGTATCCTCTGTTGTTCAAGCTGAGCTGTATGCTATTATGCAAGTAGTTTTAGAACTATCCAGCTGGTCATGCCAAGAAGTTATATTTTTCTGATGCGAAACAAGTGGTTGATGCACTTCATCCAAAGGCAGAAATTCCCTGGCCCTGCCTCTAGCTTTTGCATAGGATTAGGGAGCTTTCTGTTAAATATTTATGTATAAACTTCTCCTTTGTATATCGGAACTTCAATATTTCTACCATAACGTATCCCAATTAGAAAAAAACCCATAGTTTATCCTCTTTTACTTATACTTCTTATCCAACTGGGGTACCAAGGATAGTAGACTTTGTAAACATTGTCTTTTCTTAATATATCCATGCACCTTTCAAAAAAAAAAAAACAGTGCATATGCATATTTACATTTAAAAAAAAAAAAACAATTTGTCATTAAAACAAAAGGAGATTTTTATAAGAACCTATTGATGCATATGCCTCATGGATAGCTGAACTTGCATTGTCAACCTTATCACCCTCCACATGAACTTGATTGGGAGAATGTAATTGAAGATGCAGAAGAGAATATGTATTGCCACTTGAAACAATGCTTAGCTAGCTATATAAAGGCAAGCACAATAGAATACTAAGGCAACTTGATAGTTAATACAATAATTTGTGCATGAAGAGTGGAGGCCTAAAATTATATTTGATGCCTCTTCTTTAAACCAAAGTTAGAACACATCATGAATCATGTATATCACTAAACCAAAGCCACATGAAAAGGAAAAGGCTCCAACAACTGGTTACAATTCTTTATTGATCATGAGATAGATGCTACATTAAAATAAGCTTCATTCATGTCTAGAATTAATGCACATACAATGTGATCTATGAATTCCAATTTGAAAGTTGACAAAGATATGCTCCTTCCTAGACCTTAGCAGTGACTAGTGACAAATGTTAACAATTTACTGAAAACAATGAACACAATAATGCTAGCTCTTTGCACTTCATTGAACCAAGTCACTAAGTTGATTAGCAATGACCATCACCACCACCAAAGCCCACCACTTCCACTAACTTCGCCTCTAAGTCCCCCACCTGCTCTAGCACCAACACCAGCATCAAAACCACCACCAGCTCCACCACCTAGTCCACTATCACCTCCACCCAAGCCACCACCTTCTCTACCACCAAACCTATTGCCCTTTACTAACCCATACGCTACAACTAGTGTTCTACCGCTAGACCTGTTCATGGGCCAGGTAGCCTAACGAACCGGCCTGGCCTGGTCCATCACTTCCACTAACTTCAGCTCTAAGTCCCCCACTTGCTCCAACACCAACACCAACACCAACATCAAACCCACCACCAGCTCCACCAGCTAGTCCACTATCACCTCCACCCAAACCACCACTAAACCCGTTGCCCTTTACTAGTCTTCTACCACTAAACCTGTTCATGGGCCGGGTAGCTCGATGAGCCGATTTGGCCTGACCCATTATAAGTCGGGCTCGAACATGAATTTAGGCCCATGGGCTTGGGCCCAAAACACCATGCCTAACTTTTTTCAGGCTGAGCTTTGAGTCCAAGCCCGGCTTGATAATATTTTATATAACAAAAACTATTTTATAATTTATATATATATAATCCCACTATATATATAGTGAGGTTTTTCATTGTTTTTGGGTTTTGAGGTTGTTTAATATAAATAGCAGTTTTTATTGAATAAAAAGAAAAAACTTTTTTTCCAGATTTCTTGTCAAGTTTCGGGCTTAAGCTCGGGCACAAGCTTCAGACTTTATTTAAGGGCAGGGCTTGGGCTCGGGCTTGAATATTTTTTTGTTAATACAGAAAAAAAGCCCAGCCCGACCCATGATGGGCATGTGACTATTTTCCAACCATTCTTCTCCAATTCAGAATTTCCAAATGATGATTGTGTAATTTTGACTCGTATAGGGCTTTAAATTCCTAGAACCCTGAGTCAAAGACATTTCTAGTTGATCAATTTCCATGAAAGGGCTACTAGTCGAAAGCATACATGCAATTGCTTCGGTCATTTAATATCGTTCGCCATCTCAGAATGGGAAAAAACTGCCAATACCAATAACATCCCTTCGGGCTTTGTCATTTATTTTCCCCTACAAAGATGCATCATAGTGGAAACTTGGAATCTCAAAAGCCAAACTACAATTATTGCTATTATTAACTGCTTCCTCAAGACCAACATTGTATTAAATAGGGAATGATTCAAGAAAATGCCTTAGACGGGACAACCGGATTACAATGAATCCAAACAGCTCAGTGACAAAAATATTATTTAGGGAAAAGTATGGACAGGTCAAATGCAGATTTCTGAATTCCACTGCAGATTTATAAACATTTAAAATGCCAAAATTATTTATCCGTTCATGAATTGGCATCAATTCCAAGCTGGCACCTACTTTAACTGTACTTTGCGCCTAAAAATTCTGACCCTGGGCTGAACCGTCATTCTCTGTATTATTTATTAATCTCTTTTCCTAGTAATAGCTGTTGAGAAGAAGCTTGATTGTTTTTCTTGTCAAACAGAGAAGCTCTGCAGAAAGTCGTATTGCTACAGTTGATTTTTAAATTGCTAAAATCCCAATAAACCAAAACAATCATGCCTAAATTCAGATTCTTACATGGCCATGGGCACAAGAAAAAACCCTAGGGAGACTCAACCTCTTTTTTATCATATCCATTATCTTTTATCTCTTTTTTTAGATATCAAACTAATATATGTTAACAGATCCATAGGCCAGCTCATATAATGGCCAAGCAGGCTAGGCTCTCTCTTCATATATTTTGCGTAATTAGGAGCTGATCTTGTATTCTTGATGTTTTTAGTATATGTTTGGCATCGATGCAGATGTGTGGGTTGGAAACATCATTTTCTGAGAAAACGACGTCTTTTTTTTTTTTTTTTGGAAATATTGCTGTCAGGTAGGACATTTCCTAAAGCAACATCAACGTTTTCTGTTTGGCACCAATGCTCCAGGAAACGTTTTCAGCGCGTACCTATTATCCAGTGCCACGTCATGTCCCTATCATTGCCACCTCATGTCCTTGTTAGCAACAACGAGTTACAGCTCTAGGAAACGCCAAATTCAACGTTGCTCCAAGCCATGTCTTCCCGATTTCCAAGGCGTGGCTTGGAGCACCATTTTTTATGGAAAAAATGGTTCCAACAAATAGGTGTTTCCTGGAGCACCATTTTTTCTGATGTAGCGCTGATGTGTCGCTGTTTTCTGGAGTAACGACATCGATGCCAAGCAAATGCTTAGTGGTTCATTTTTTGCAGAAAAAAAAAAAAAGAAAAAACCGTAGGGAAAGATAATTATATATTTTTTCCAATTTTCATCAAATGCTAAAACGCTTTAGTGTGAGATTTCAGATTTGTCCTAAATAAAAGACATTTCATGCTAAGAGCTGTTTTCATGAGGCGATTATACTCACCCAATTTATAAACATTTTAGGTGAGAAGACAGTCAATGGTTCCATGTTGGAAGGTGAAGATTGGATTCTAAATCTAGATAGAGAGCATCAAAACCCAGACTAGACTAACGCCTAAATCACTTAATGTCAAATTTTCATTGATATTACTATTCTCCAGTTTATGTTTTGATATTACTCTCCGGTTTATGTTGGATACTTTTTCAAAAAATGTTTTTTTATTAGATCTAAGGTTTAAAGAGGGCCAACACATTGCTTGATCCAATGGTAAAATCTAAGCTACACAAGCATGAGTGGGTTCGAGTCTTAGAACCACTTCATGCAAAACACTGAGGGAGTGTTTATGGATAAACGTTTATCTGAAAAACATTGCTTTAAATGCTTTTTTGCTTTTTCTATTTGGTTGGGTGTTTTATTGGTGTTTCATGTAACACCCCATAAAGTTTCTTTCCGCCTCAGCTTAAAATGTGTCACATCAATATTTCATTTCAAAAAATGCTTAGGTGTTAGGAGAAATGAGAATTAATCAGTTTTCCTAATTGCCCCATGCACATAAATCAAAGTGTTTTAGTTTAGTGTTTATTTGATAAACAGTGAAACCAATAGTGATTTCATTGAAATAAATGCCAACGCCTATGTGGCGTTGATGTAACAATGTTTTTTCAATAAATGCACACAAAACCAAACTTACCCTTAATGATCATTAGATTTTAGTTGCTAATAGGGATGGATTCGAGTCGAGCTGAGCCGAATAGTATGAAGCTCGAGCTCGGATCGCCAAGGTTGTATAAGGTTTGAACTTGGTTCGAACTAGAACATTGAGTTTGAGCTCGGCTCGAGTCAAAAACTCATAAGCTTGAGCTCGATTTGAGGAAAAATATTTTATAAAAATAAAAAATTATATATAAAAATATTTTTTATTTGATATTTAAAAATAAGAATTATAATAATTAAGGAGCTCGGCTCGCAAACTTCACGAGCCGAGCTCTATTAGGCTTGAGCTTGGCTCGAAACTCGATTAAAACCGAGTCGAGCCGAGCTTGAGTAGCTCGTGAAAAACTCGGCTCGTTGCCACCCCTAGTTGCTAATAGACAAAAATTCTAGGAATATGGCCATGCACAAAATGTCACCACACACCCAACTATGCCAATGACTTTGGTTGCTAATAGACAGAATGTTAATCTATATTAACCCTAAGACCCAATCTAGTATTTAATTTTAATGTTTTCAAACTGTTGTTGACCAGGATGGTTGAATCGTTCACCTAGAAAGATTTTAATTAAATCTGTGGCTCAAGCTGTCCCCTCCTACTACATGAGTACATTTATGATTCTTGTCTCTCTTACCAAAGAGTTGGAGAGAATGATGAACTCATTTTGGTGGGGTAATTCCAACTCTAATGGCGGGGGCATTAAATGGCTTAGACGGAAGAAGCTTTGTGTAAGGAAGGAAGAGGGTGGTATGGGGTTTAGAGATATGCAAGCTTTCAACTTAGCAATGCTTGCGAAGCAAGGTTGGAATATCCTTTCCAAACCAGATGCTCTTGTTTGTCGTGTTTTCAAGGCTAAATACTTCCCTAGAGGGGATTTTCTAGCAGCCCAATGTGGGCATAATCCAACTTATACTTGGAAAAGCATATGGCATTCTCGCATTGTTTTGGAGAAGGATTGTAGGTGGAGAATTGGGAATGGGCAGTATATCCGTGTGTGGGATGATTCGTGGCTTAAGGAGATGGGCAATTTTAAGGTTGATTCGCCTAAAGTTGAGGGGCTTGAAGATATTGTGGTTTCGGACCTATGGATTCCAGGCCACAAGGAATGGGATGTCGAAATGATTCATGAGCTTTTCGGCCCAAGGGATGCTAGTGCAATTTTGAATATTCCCTTGTCTTATTCTAGTCAAGAGGACCAACTAATTTGGCATTTCTCACCAAATGGGGTATATTCAGTAAAGTCAGGATATAGGGTTGCAAGGGATCTTAATACCACTATCTCTCAAGCTGTTATTTCGGGTGGATGGGATAAGCTATGGAAGCTTTCTATTCCACCTAAGGTGAAGAGCTTTGTTTGGCGGGTTTGTAGGGAGTGTTTGCCCTATAAAGACCAGCTTGCTAGGTGTGGCATCCAGTTAGATACTTCGTGTCATCTCTGTAATACTAACGTTGAAAGTCTGAGCCATGTCTTGTTATCATGTTCGTATGCTCAAGCTTGTTGGTCTAAGGTTGGCATCAGCGTAAATGTGTCGAATCACGCCTCTTTTGCTGATTGTCTTCTTGAGTTTTTAGCAGAAACCGATTATGACAAGTCTGGACGTGCTTGCATGGTTTTGTGGAGCATTTGGTCTCAACGTAACTCCAAGCTGTGGAGAAATAATTTTAAGCTACCTGATCATGTTGTTACTGGGAGTTTGCAGCTTCTCCATGATTGGAAGCAAGCTCAAATACAGAAGCGGTTGGGCATGGTTATTAATCTTAACCACCAAGGTGACGGTAATTGGCGTGCTCCCCCTCTTGGTTCCTTCAAGTGTAATGTTGATGCTGCCTCTTTCACGAGCAGTAACTTCACTGGGTTTGGAATAGTTATACGTGATGAGCTTGGTGCTTTCATGAAAGGTTACACGTCCATAGTTCCTGGTCTATTTGTTTTGAAAGAAGGGGAAGTAATGGTCCTTATAGCAGCAATTAAATGGGTGACCAGCATGGATATCCATAATGTGGTATTTGAAACTGATGCCCTAATGGTATGGAAAGCCCTTCCTGCTCCAGCTTCGGACCTGTCCAAATTTGGCTCCCTCGTTCATGAGTGTTCCTCGTTGTTACAGCAAGGTGTAAACTTCTTGGTGGCTTGTGTCAAAAGGCAAACTAACACCGTGGCCCACAACTTAGCTAGGGCTTCTTATCGTTTCGTTAATCCTTGTATCTAGCATGAGCCTCCAGCGTTTGTGGAGGACTTGCTTGTTTGTGATATTTCTGGTTGATTAATGCATTGCAATTTATTCTCAAAAAAAAAATATTAAAAAGGTCAACAGAACATTGACCCAGCCATTTGAACGGGTGAACCGTTCAATCCGGACAACGGTTTATGGGCTAACTATTAAAATGATGAATACTACCTTCGTCTCCCTTGAATCACTGATAGATCGAGAAAAATGGTGACTAAATACTGGTTCTCTTTCTTGAATCATGGCAAAACGGCAACTAAATACTGGTTTTCTTTCTTGAATCTTGGAAATCAAGGATGTAAATGCAGAGATCACTATGACAACAAGCTTTTTCTTTTAACTGCATAATCTTAAAACTTTGCTGAAAATAACAACTGACACCAGATTTCATAGAACCGAAAGAAAAAGGGGTTCGGACTTTGGTCGTTGAGAGTCGAGATGCAAGTTTTATTTCAATAAAAAAAAAAAAAAAGAAATGAACTATTCTTTATTCTAGCCATTGACACTCGAAATTTTCTTTCAATAATAATATGCTATATTGTCAGGAAATGAATGTACGTTTTATCATTTCGTTGTTATATTTACCATGTTACGGGCCAAACTGTTTGACGAGACGGTTAAACAGCTGATTTGAAAACCTGGAGGCCAAAAAGGGGGTTCTATTTTCGAAAAAAACTTTGGCCGATGAAGGCCAACAGCCTCTGCTGCTGCTGCTGAGAACATGTTTGGCAATGACACGCTACCATAGAGTGGGATAAAATAGTAATTGCTCCCTATTTATTCTTAACCATAAACAGTATTCGCTGGTGGGATATACCCAACAGCTAAAGGTAACTCCTATTTCCGGATCGTTTTTTAAAACCTTGTTTTATTATTCTTAAAAAAAGAAAAAAAAAAAAAGATCATCGTTAAAATTGTCATAGAGACCATCTGACAGTGAAGGAAAAAAAAACACTTTCTTGGAAACCAATATTCAAAGCTTTTGAGTTTCTCATGTAATTGAATGCCAGATTGTTGCACTACTTCATATAATACTCTGCAGAAAAAAAGAATACATTGATGGATTCCCAAGTTTTAACTCTAACAAAGACAGAGAAAGAAAAAGGGGGGGGGGGGKGGGAGAACATTTGATTTCACATAACATTAAACTTTAAAATGATGTGGGGAAAAGAAAACAATCTATACTACAATAGGAAGGAAAGCGTACAATAAATACTAATCTCCCCACCATTAGCCTCAAGTCATTCCTATTGGTAAATCGTACAGGCATTCCCAAGATACAAAATTTTGGTTGCTTTCAGTGGCGATCTTTGCACTGTCAAAAACCAAACCTCCAGGCTCCATCCCAACATCAATGGAAATTGCACTGCTGCAACAAAGGATGAGAGTAATCGACATACTTTTCCCACAACGGTTTATACTTTTCAATCCCAATTTTTAACCAAGGTTTTGAGTTTCCATTAAAATGCAACACGGCCCCCTTCTCTATCAATTGAGGATCAACATTTGTGTAACCCAACCCCAATACATGCCATTTGGGATCCAAAGGCTCAGTTAACCCATAGAAAGTTAATAATCCAGGTGGCAATGTCCCAAGTTTCCACAATGTCCTGTCAACATTTCTCTCCTGCCAGTAATGATAAATGCCAGTCACATTCTTTTTCCTCCACTCAACCAAATCAAAAATGTTCATCCCAAATGCCCACCCACAGGCATCGGGATCAAAATGTGAGCGTATTAGGGGGTGAGAGTAATTCAAGTACTTGTGATATCTGTGGAATGTCTCCATGCATGTCTCAACAGCTCCATTCACGTTTCCCTTAAGGTCTATGGAAAATAGTGGTGACAGGTCTTTCTGAACTACAACATCATCATCAAGAAATACTACCTTCTCCAGTGCAGGGAAAACTTCTGGAATGTAGAACCTGAGGTGGTTAAGCATAGACAGGTATTTTGGGTTCCGGTATTTTATAGGAGTCTTGCCATCATCATTGTTTCCAGAGAAGTAATAATTCTGAGTGTCTAAATCTTGTAGCTGCTTCAGGACAGGGACATAAGAAGCATTGAGCCAGCCAAAGTCTTCAAACTTCTGAACCTCAACGGTTACTCCTCGAAAACTGTTCATGGAGAACCAAGCCTTCATTGGAGCATAGTTGATTTCATCAGTTACAAGGTGGAAAACAACCATATCTGGATGTTTAGAGTTCAGTGCAGTTGAATTGACCACGACTGAAGTTGCAAGGATGTTGTCAGAGAAGACACAGAAATGATAGAGATTGTTGTCTTCAAGTTTTTCTGCTATCCATTTTCCTTCTGAGAGTTTCCTCTGGAAATTTGAATTTCTAAACCATTCAACTGTTAACCTGACACCTAGGCAGTTTAGGCTTTTTGGGACTTCCTCAGCAGCTATTTGCCCATATTTTGAGCTCTTCTCGTTCACAGAGTTTACTTGTTCTTCAAGAGACTGAATTTTTGTTTTCAGCTTCATGATCATGGTTGCACTGTCATAATGGAATTGTTGAGCTTGGTACAGCAAAAGTGCCATATCACGGATTGCAGTTTCTGATTCTCCGGCTGTCAATGGAGTTTGTCTTGTTGCAGCATTTGAGAGTAGGATCTGTGAGTTGCGAATCTGAGCACTTAATTCCCATGCAAACTGGAGGTTGTTACTTTCTTTTGCTATCACAACAATAGATTTTGCAAGAGAAATCTGATCACTTAGTTGTCTTGTGATTGAATGAGGACTAAGCATTTCTTCAGTAATGTTCAGGCCTTCTGTTATCCTATTGTGCTTGTAAGACCTCTGCAGAGCATTATGAAGAATTCAGATGTTTTGGTTGCACAAAATAGTTGAATCAGGAAATGAAAATTATCAATTATCCCAATTTGCAATTTTCATGCTTCTTAAGTTCAATGTGAAAAACCTATATAACATAGTATCAAAGGAATACATCACATTTCTTTTTGGTAACTTTAAAAAACAGCAGGTCAAACCCCACTCAATAGCAATATCTAGATGTCTATAACGGTTCCAGATGACAGTTTCAAGGGTGAAACTCTCTAACCATTGTTGAGAAAATATATAACAAAGAATTACCATGCTGTTAACTTGATCTAGATTTCAGTGCAGTCATCAACTCTCAACCAGCTGAAAGCTGGAGCAAGTGATTGCTATATTTTAGAGCAAATGAAGTATAGGAACAGTTTTAACATTTTGGACAAAATATACTTGATTATAATGAGTATACATTCAATCAACTCTGTAATCAAACCATATATATATATATATAACCAAACGAAAGTCAAATGAACTCAAGAAGATTGCTCCAGCAACTGCAACAAACTGGAGGAAATTCTTGTATGGATGCTGCAACAAACAATAGGCCTAGATGGTTTAATCTGAAGTCATCTTGATGAATGAACTACAGTTTTAGCCATTGCAGATGAAGTGAGGGAGGTGCTGATTGACTGCACGTCTGCACCAGTTTCCTTCTTATGATTGTAATAAAAATGGGAAATATGTGTTCACGGTTTGGCACTTACCTTGACTTAATTTCACTGCATCCATTCATAATTCCAGTTTGGCACTTACCTTGACATTATCTTTAAGATATCAAACCAGTGATTTTTATGGAACAGGATGTCAGAAATGAAAAAACGTTAATAAGCAGAACTGAAACAAGTGGAAAGGATGGAAAAGTCATAGATGTGCATTAATAGGAACCTAAGAGTAGCCCCAGTAGGTGATAGGATAGAGGAAAAATTAGTGACATGGTAATAACATGTACAAAGAGGACCAACTGATATACATCACTGTGAAAAGGAATTTTTTCATGTAAATTGGAGACTCTACATGAGAAAAGGGGAAGGCCCAAAAGCAAATGGATTAAAGCAAGGGATAAAAGAAATTTGCTGACTGCCCCTGGTTCTTGATTGCCAAAGCAGAATCAAGAACTGGACCCAGAAAGATGAAATTCTATCTTGTTCTGGTTTTAGAAGTTCAATATAACTTGTTCTCCATGGCACTGAATCACACATTGTATCACCACAATTTGATTTTTTTTTTATAAAATTTGTTCTTTGTTGCCCAAACATGTTTTGGTAGCCTTACTATAACTAACAAACTGAAAATCCTTTGCATAGAAGATGCATAACCATTGCAGACTTAAAAAAGTACTGATTACATCGCTCTCCATACATGGTGAGGCTGTGAACCATCAACATTCTAAAACCACAACACATTTGCCTTCACAACAAAGCAAAATGCCAACTTGAGGGAAGATTTCATGCATCATTGCAATACAAGTCTGAAAACACAAATAAACTGAAGGATGAACATAACTAAAATCAGAAATGTATTAATAAAAAAGGGGCTTACTTGAACAATTGTAGGTCTGGAACTTGGCTGCTTGTCTTGGCTGGAAAGCACAATAAATAGCAGAACCACCAAGCCACATAAAGTCAACCAGAAGAGCTTTGAAAATCTTCTCTTCACAGGGCGTCGAAAATCAGTAGGTCTACGCCTCATTTTGCCCGAACTAGATTACATATAATAGAATCTAAATATAAATCAAGTTCTTGTACATCTGGCTTCAGTTCACAAAGAACATAAAAGGCCATAAGCTACATGAGAAAAGGAAAAGAAAGAAGAACAGGAGCCAAGAACAACTAATTTGAAACGACAATAATAGTAAATAAGGAAACAAAGGACAGAATTCATTATGTCTTCACTAGGATTTGTGAAGGAATATTTAGATCAAGAGGGACTAATTGGCTGAAAACTCCGAAGTTTAGGAATCAAGACAAAAAAGAGACCTGGCAGCTTGGCTGGATATCTTAAGCCTATCATTCTATCGAGTTCTGAAGCAGCAGCTACACAGAAGCAACAGAATGAACTGCCACTTTATTGTTTCTTTTTCCTCATTTTTCCCCAACTGACCAATGCTCATCATTTTTTTTTTAATTTTGATCAGCAAAGGAAGAAATTCATTCAACTGACGTATGCTCATTGTTGAGCCAAAACAAGTATATTCTAGTTTATAGCTCAAGATGAAGAAGTCACACTTATTTGTTATTTTAAATTTTTAAATCATTATTAGTAGTTCATTTGAGAGGTCTGTGTAAAGATTCTGGCACCAACAATAAATTAAGGTCTTGATTTGAAATGGCAACATCCTCAGTCATGGGAAGAATAAAGTGTAGTTAGTGAAATAAAGGCCCCTTGGTGGGAAAGCGTTACAAATGGTTCAACAACATGGATCCAATCCGGTGTCTGGATGGAATTTGAGCAGGGCTCAGTTTGATAAACGTGTCTGTCCCTCTGAGTTGACCCAAACCAAAGGCCAACATGGTTTCCAATCCAGGATAGAAGTGAAAAGGAAGGGCGTTAGCTCTTGTTAGGTTAAATCCTTTTTTTTTCAGGCTATGTTTAGCTTAAAACATGACCAAAACTCAAAAGGATAAGCAAAATATAGAAAAGAACCATATTGAATAGGTGTCTTCCAATTTGGATGGTAAAGCAAATTTAGGAAAAATACCCCCTACATAGAAGAAAATGCCTCAAACAGGTTTGCAAAGAAGTATACAAACACACTTGGGAGTTGGAACATGTTTCTTGGTGGCAGTGCCGTATAAAGATGATGGTTTTCCAAATTTTGATCAATTCTTAGAACTAAGTTTTGAAGCCAAGCAGTTTCCATCTGGAAAATGTTTTTTTATCAGCCACAATGAAAAATATTTAGTCATTATAATTAAAACTGTTACAACAAGAGGTTGTGATTACAAAGGAAGCAAAGACCCTTCTCTCTCACCCCACCACACCCTTTTTACATTTAAGCCCAAAACACTTGCTGTCTATTGACCCCTTGCTTAGCCAAACCCAGCCAAACTGTTTGTAGACCTTTGTGTCCATTTAATTTATAGCTGCATGTCTTTTGAAAACCATTTGAACCATCTGAATTCATTTTTGAAGTTCCATAACACTCTCTTTTCCTTCATTAGCCAGCTTATTACCACCTCTGAGTCACCCTCAATCATCAATCTTTCAACTCCCATTCCCTTGGCCTTTTGCACCCCAAATACTGCTGATAGGATTTCTGCCCTTGTTTGGAGAAAAGTACACTGCAAGTATAGTACCATTCTCATCCCTCATTACTTTCCCAATTCCAAAAGGCCCAGGATTACCCATGCTACTTCCATCAAAGTTCAGCTTCAACCACCCGCTTTCTGGAGGCATTGATTCCTTCTTTTTCTTTTGGTTTTTAAGATGGGGATCCTACAACTACCCCCTCATTCCTAATAATATCGCCCATTGTGAAATATGAGAAAAGTTCTATTGTCTTCACCCAGAATATTGATCTTATGGTGATTATTTCAATTAATGTCTCCTTACTCTTCTCCTTTTCTTTGAAAATTCTTGTATTCCTTTCTTCCCAAATTGTCTAAATCACCACTTCTCTTCTGCATCCCCACAACACTTTGCCCCCTCTTTTTGGACATCTAATCATAGTCATGTCAAACAACCTATCCAAGTTCACAAGAGTCCACCTACATCCAAAATGAGCAAAGAACCATTTCCAAATATAGCAGACAAAAGGACAGGAAATTAGTATTTGGTAAGCAGTCTCACTATTTAATCTGCACATGATACACCAACAAGGGGAATAAAGACAGCAATGTCTTTTTCTTTGCAGCATGTTGCAGGTATTAATGCTTCCATGGAATACTTCCCAGCAAAAAGCACTAACCTTTGGAGGGATAGGGACACTTGACACTTCCTTTATACGAAGGGACCAAGAAAAGGAATTGGGCAACAAGGAATTGAAGAAGGATTTGTGAGAAAAACTACCATCCAGGTTAGGAATCTATAACCAACCATCCCCAATAGAATCATCAAGGACCACCCCCTCCAAATGGTTCAAAAGGTTAGATACTTCGAGGATTTCAAAATCCCTAAGATTCCGCTTGAATGCCAAATTCTAGTCCAGCCCCAAAGTTGATGAGGAAGTGATTACAAATTCAAAAATTGGTTTTTCTTTGAAATTTCATAGTACGTAAAAGAAAGGAAACAAGTCTTTCAAAGGAGACTCCCCAATCCAAAGGTCTTCCCAAAATTTGATTTTATTACCACAAGATAAATCATACTTGACATGATTGAGAAACAAAGGAAGATAGATAGCTTTCCAAGGAGAGGTGGGAGTAGCTCTGTGCAGCAAACTAACATCCCAACCATCCTGAGAGCCCATGGTGACTAGCCACGATCTTATGCCAGAGCTTTTCATCTTCCACCAGAAACCTCCATGCCCTTTTTTATATCAGCAAAAGAATTGCATTTCTTATTTAATTCAGAAGCTTAGTACAATTGTTATAGCAATTCACCAGCCCATATTACATCAGATTACAACTTTGCCCAAAATAAAAGAGGTCTATCAGCTCCTTGTTTTGCTAAAACGTCTGCCTTACCATTCGCAGTCCTTCTTACCAGATGAATTTAGAATTAAACCTCTTTGTTAGAAAATCAACTTCCCTAAAAGCATTTCTATATTTCCAAGGTGCTGAGTTGATTTGCTTGGTCCATGAAACGACTAATGGTGAGTCTCCTTCAACTTCCAACTCCCTAACTCCTAGCTGTACTGCTAACCCATTAATGACCAGTTTATGAAAAATTAAATGTGTTTGGTTCAACCCAAACCCATCATAACCCAACCCATTATTTTTCATTCATTATATGAGACATACATAAGTTCTAGAAAAATATAACATAAATTATAAAAAAATAGAAAATGCAGAAAATAACATAAATTACAGAAAAAAGTAAAAATTGCAAAAAAATTATGGAAAAGGCACAGAAAATGAAAAAAAAACATAAATTACAAAAAAAAACAAAGAAATACACAGAAAAATAACAAAAGTTATAGAAAAAACACAGAAAATGAAGAGAAATAACAGAACTTACAAAAAACAACAAAAAATGAGAAAATACAGAAAAACAAACAGAAATTGCAGGATGATATAAAACATTATTTAAAAATGTAGAAAATGAAGAAAAATAACATGAATTATAAAAAAAATAAAGGATCATTCTGGGGGTTGCTAGCCTGCTACAATGCTGCCATGTAAATGATTTACATGTCATTTGTCGTTTTTTTTTGTTATAGCGGTAGAAGTGGTTAGCCATTGTTTGTCATTCAACCCCATTAGACCTGTTCAATGGGCCAAAGTTTGTCATTTTGTGTTATAGAATACTAGGTTTCAACCCTATTTGTCATTGTGTCGAGCACTTGGTGGCAAAACAGGGAGAGCCTACAGTGGTTGGGATCTCGGAATTCTGGATGACACCCATCTGACATCTCAATGCATGCATTTTTTTTAACAGAAACATCAGTACTCTCATTGAGTCATTGTCGCCATCCATGAAATTAAATTTGGAAATTGGAAAGTTTCTTTAAATTATTGAAGGTTTACCATTCAGAATTTAATATCGCAATACTTCACACTTACGGCATTAGCCATTAGAGAGGAAAAAACACTCGAAAATACTGACGAGTCTTTGATAATTGCAGCAAAACTAAACTAAAAGACAGTTATAGAACAAATTGTGGAAACAAGAAGCGAGATCGTTCTCTCCCCTTAAACTGTGAGCGAAAAATATACTATGAACTGATCCAAAAATGTTAACCTTACTAGCAAAAAATGAGTGAGCCAAAAAATCAGCCCTAGCTATCTCGATCTGCGGTCATGTCTTTCAGTGTTGGTCTCCTCTGGTAGAGAGAGGTCTTGTTGTCTGGTGCAGAGAGAGAGAGAGAGAGCGCTCTGTAGACAAGAAGAAGAAGCCAAGAAGGGGGAAGAAACAGTCGAGCGGGGTTTCTCTCCAAAACGAAAATAACAAATTAGTCGGGATTCGGGACCCGTGCGATGCACGGACTATGTTAAGTCAAATTGAGGTAGAACGTAGAACCTTAGGACCATAATTTTATTTTTTAAAAAATTGACCGAATTGAATACTTGGGTTACTTGGGCTGAGTGCAGCCCAAGCCCGGAAAATGGTTGAAGGATTTGGTTATGCAGGACTAGAAAGAACATTAGGTTGATTAACCGAACGCCATGGCTGTTCAGCGGGGCTGTGGAACCAATGATGTAATAAATTCATGGGACCTTGCAAGGTGCAGGTCCTATGTATTTTATTACCGGTGGAATTTTATCATTGGTTTCACAACGAATTGGGATTTATTCTCCACAGAACTCGTACGATCTCACGGCCACATTTCATCCTGTATTGTGAACTCCTCATAAATAATATATACAAGTAGGGAGATATTCCCGATGTGCGGTCAGGACACGCTGTGAGATGTTTACAAATTGGACTCTTCCACAACTCATTGAACAGCCATCTCGTTTAGCTAATCATTGCTCAAGGGAGAAGGAAATTTGTTGGTCCTATTAAGAAACTTTTGTACAATTTCTCTTAAGTCTCTTTTGTACATAGACCTCTCTAACTATTGTTGCAGCTCAATAGCACAACGGGCTAAATCTTTTGTTGTTGATGGTTGTTCTAACACCGTGTTATTTGGGTCGAGGAGAATAAGGCCAGCTCTGTTGCCTTGCTGATTGGATGAGCCATCCACGTGCAGTGTCCATACTTGCAGCAGCGGGGCAGGATCCTCGGTGGTGAATGTGCATTCGACAATGAATTGGCCAGAAATTGTGCTTTGATCGCGGATTGGGGGGTGTATTCGATGTCGAATTCACTTAGTTCTACGCTCCATTTGATCAGGCAGTCAGATGTTTCCGGCCTTTGGAGGACTTGCTTGAGTGGCTGGTCGGTGAGTACTCGAATACTGTGGTCTTGAAAATATGGCTTGAGTTTCCTGGCCGAGGTGACCAGAGCCAGAGCCATTTTCTCCAAGTTGGAGTATCAGGTTTCTGTGCCATCGAGGACTTTGCTGGTGTAGTAAATCAGCCTCTGTACCCGGTCTTCCTTCTTGACCAGTACCGAGCTGACGACCTCATCCCCGACTGAGAGGTAGAGCAATAGCTCACCCCCTGGGCTCGGCTTGCTGAGGAGAGGCGGCGAGCTCAGGTATTGCTTCAGTTCTTGAAAGGGCAGTTCGCATTCCTCGGTCCATTGGAAATCCTTTGATTGCTTAAGGGCTTTGAAGAAGGGCAAAAATCGGTCTACAAATTTGGACAAGAACCTGCTAAGGGCAGCTATTCTATCGGTGAGTCGTTGCACATCTTTGTGAGTTCGGGGCGACTACATGTCGAGGATGGCTTGTATTTTTTCTAGATTTGCCTCAATCCCTCTTTGTGTCACCATGAACCCTGGGAATTTACCCAAGCCGACCCCGAAAGCACATTTGGTCGGGTTCAGCTTCATCTTATACTTCCTGAGGGTACCGAAGACTTCCTTTAGGTCGGCAAGGTGCTGCTTGGCCTTTTTGCTCTTCACTAGCATGTCGTCGACGTATGCCTCTACGTTTCGGTCGAGCTGATCTTTGAACACCTCATTCACCAATCGTTGGTAAGTGGCGTCGGTGTTCTTGAGGCCGAAGGGCATTTCCCTATAGCAATATAAGTCGCGGTCAATGATAAAAGCTATTTTCTCCTGGTCATCGGGATGCATTCGGATCTGATTGTACCCTGAGAAGGCATCCATAAAGCTTAGGACTTCATGGCCGATCGCTGCGTCGACAAGTTGGTCGATCCTTGGTAGAGGAAAGCTGTCTTTGGGGCAAGCTTTGTTTAGGTTGGTGAAGTCGGTGCATATCCTCCACCTCCCATTGGCTTTCTTCACCATTACCACGTTGGCTAGCCAGTCTAGGTATTTTACTTCCCGAATGAAGCTAGCTTCGAGTAACTTTTGTACTTCTTCTATGATCACTTGCCACTGTTCTGTTGTGAAGCTCCTCTTCCTCTGCTTGATAGGTCGGTAGTGGGGGTCAGCGTTCAAACGGTGTGTGATGACTTTGGGGTCGATCCCCGACATATCTACCACCGACCAGGCAAATACGTTGGCGTGGTCCCTTAGTAGCTGTACAAGCTCTTCCCGGAGGCGGTCATCTAGGAGAGAATTGACCTGGACTATCCTCTCGGGGTCTTCTTCATTAAGTGGCACCTGGATGAGGTCTTTGACAGGTTAGCCACGCTGTGTCCTCACCTTGTCCCTTAGGTCATAAGCTTATGCCATCAATGTTTCCTTAGCCGGGCGTGGTCCTCGGCAGGAGAGCAAGTAGCACTGCCGCGCAGTTCTTTGGTCTCCATGCACTACTCCTATGCCATATTCGGTGGGGAACTTCATGGCGAGATGGAATGTGGAGACCGTAGCCTACAGAGCATTAAGGGTTGGCCTACCGTGGATGGCATTGCACGAAGAGGGGCAACGAACCACAATGAAGTCCATCATGGTCGTCGTAGTAATGTCACCGTCTCCAATCAATAGGGGAAGGGTTATTCTCCCAGTGGGGAGGAGGGACTCTCTAGAGAAGCCCTTTAGGGGAGTGTTGACGGGGGTGAGACGCTCTTTATAAATGCTGAGCTTCTTAAATGCGTCCTCGAAGAGTACATCGGTGGAGTTACTCGTGTCAACTAGGATCCGTCTTATCTTGAAGTTGGCCACCTCGGCTGTGATTACCAAGGCCTCGTCATGCGGGGTCTGAACCCCCCAATGGTCATCATTGATGAATGTGATAGATTGGTCACGCTTCTTCTTGTGCCCCCGGTTGTCGATCTCGCACAGTCACGCATACTTCTTGCGCCCCGAGCTACTCTCCCCTCCTGCAACGATTCCACCTGATATGATGTGGATCACACTAGCAGGGGGACCTCGGGGTGGCGGTCAAGCATCCTCTGTGCGTTGTTCCTCCTGTGCCGGCTTCTCGCTCTTGATGAACCCACTGAGGTATTCATGCCTAATTAGGTCTTCAATGTGGTTGCGCAGGTCGAAGCAATTCTCCGTGTCGTGGCCATGATCTCTATGGAAATCGCAATACTTGTCGCGGTTCCTTTTGTTGCTTTGCGTTTTCATCTTCTCCAGCCAATGGACATAGTTGCGATCGCGGATTTGCATCAGTACTTCAGACTGCGACATATTGAGCGGCGTGAAGTTCCAATAGGTCGTTGGGAGTGTCCATGGTCTATGGTCGGGTCGGCAGTCTTGCCACTTTTGGTCCCGTTCCGATCTTTCTGACTTTCGTTCCTCAGTATCTCTCATCTTCTTGTCAGACCTCTCTTCTTCATCCCGCAGTTGTGTTTGCGCTTCTTCTACTTTGATATACTTCTACGTATGGCTTATCAGCGCAACCAAGGTTTGTGGAGGGTTCTTGGAGATAGAGAAGTTGAATAGCAATGACAGCCACAGATTGGTTCAGGTTCCTGACCTGTAGTGGTTCCTTGTTGAATCTTGCCAGGTAGTCCTTGAGAGACTCCTTTTTCCTCTATCGCACTTGCATAAGGCTGGCCGAGGTCTTCCAATGCTTTTGACTCGCTGTGAACTGTGCATGGAACTGAGTTTCCAGCTGCTCCCACGACGCTATTGAGTGTGGAGGCAGAGAGGAATACCAGGTTAGGGCTGGACCTGTGAGGGTGGCCACGAGGGCTTTGCACATCAGGCCCTCAGAAGGCGTGCAGCATCAGCTGAGCCTTACATGCCTCGATACGGTTGGCGGGAAGTGTTTCCATCATACTTATCAAGCTGAGGTGCCCGCCATCCTGTGGGAGGTACCTCATCCACAATCTCCTAGGTGAAGGGGGTTCCTTGGCAGTGGGCGCGGCCGGTTGTGCGAGCTGATCTACAACTGGCGTCGTGCTTCTCTGGCTGCACTCTAGCTCTTCCAAGCGCTGCCGGAGCTCCTGAATCTCATTATCCCTTTGGTCTGGGACCGCGGTGTGCGTTGCCCTTTCCTTCTTGGGGTGCGCGGTGCGGTCTTTCATGGAGCTGGACTCAGCGACGGAGACCACGTGAGGTGGCGTTCGTCGGCCGAACCTCTCCTTTGCAGGGATCCATGTGGTTTGGTGCGTCCTGCTATGAGAGTGGGCAGAGGGGGCCGACCTTCTTGTTGTATCCTAATTTTCTTGGTTGGACCGCGCTATACCCTTGTCTGCTCGGCACACTTTGGGGTCCTCGGGGCGAGGATCATCCTTCGTACGCGTCGGGGCATAAGGGGGGACGGTCTTGCTAGGCGGTGCCGTGGATCCTAAGTTCTGCATCATTTCGAAGATCTTATCGACCTTTTCTTGCATTGCTCGGAACTGCACAAGATCCACCACAGCTGGAGGCAATGGAATTTCTTGATGTAGAGGGCTGCAGTGCTGAGACTCCCGAGATGGGAATCGGCCTGTTGATCATTCAGGCTAGTTCTTGGGCATCTTGATTGCTTTCTTGATGGCACGGTGAGGAAGGAAGGATTTTTGGGAAAGGCTTTTTGTCCGTTTCCCACAGACGGCGCCAATCTGATCGTCGGATTACGCCCAGACTACACATCAAAAGCTCGACTTCCACTTGGAATCAGAGTCGTTCCTCAGCTCCACCGGGAGGACGAACCTCGAAGCTCAGTTCGACACCTCGACACTCTACCTAGTTGTGCGACCGTGCAAAACTTCGGACCAAGCACTCCCCCTCCTCGGCTCCAAAACTGGGGGAGTGGTTCGGATTCCGAAGTTGGAGCTCTTAGAGTTCTACAGCCGACGATGGGAAGATTCCTCAGCCACGTTCCATATTGTCCGATTCTCAAGATTGCGACAGGCATTGAGGAACACCAAAGGGGTCGGGCCCTCATCCAGACATCAACTTAGAAAGTTCTTCAGTCGAAGAACGAGTAGGACTACTTCATTCATCAACTTCAGAATTGGGAGAGTGGTGTTCGGGTCATGGCTGAGCTGGCCTTGCGAAACACGTGGCCACCCAGCTATCGCCCGGCCACATCAACTCCGCTGGGGGATGGGACTCTATCCCGAATTCCCCGCGACTAACCTCATCCCGACAACCCTGGAAGCCCAATCCGACTAGGACACAGATCTTCGACTATAAAAAGGTATTCCACACTCAAGGTAAGGGACCCCAACTTCTGAGACCTACACTACTATTTAGCTCGGACCCGCATCCCTATAGCTCGGCACGACCATCTATCACCTCCTACTAACTTGAGCGTCGGAGTATTTACCCGGCATAACTCCTTGGGCCTTTGACTACTTCCTTGATCACATGTCTTGAATCGCAGCCTCGTCCTTGTAGCTCGGCCCCACCCTGCCAACAAGGAACTATCTGGTTGCTCTCCTCAATTCGTGCACCACCTCAGATTGAGCAGCATCAATGGTTATTGGTGGTATGTCCAAGTAACCTGGCTGGAACCATGAATTCTTATTTTGTTTAGTTAATTAAGTAGTCTTAATTTTTTCAAAAAAAAAACATTATTTTTAATGTGTATTTGTTTTATTTTTATTTTTTAATATTTCATTAAGGGAAAATCTCTTAAAGTACCCCTAAATTATATGAAATTGACATACTCTACCCCATTGTTTATAAATTGCCAAAAAGTATTCCTAACTTTTTTCACACTTGACTAAATCCTCCTTCAGATGTGACATATAATGTATAATTTTTTTTTAAAACCTAAAATTATCTTTTTGTGGTCGGTTTTACTTTTCATTATTCTTCAAGTTTTCAAATTTAAACAGTGGTCATGAAAAATTTCTAAACATTTAGCCTAATGTCCATTTTCTTTATCTCCCAATGTAGTGCATTCATTCTTCCCATCTCTTTGTGATCCATTTGTTTCACAAATACAAAATGTGAAATTCCAAGTTTTCAAAACAAGGTTGCTTGACCTACGGAAGACAAAACCAGTTCATGATTTTTACTCTATTTGTCCAAGCCAACAAGATGGCAAGCCTAGTTCACTAGGTCTTTCCAATCAAGGTATCAGAAAATGGTGGCAATTGGCAACCCCTGCTTGGGGATTCCCTTGCCTTGAGCTCACTAGGTTGGTATTGGACCTGTTCACAGGCCGGGCTTCGGGCCCATTAGACTTTTGATAAAAAACAAGCCCGAGCCCGACCCATGAATTAATGCTTGCGATTAGCTCAACCCAACTATATACTGAAACAACTCTTAGCGCTATGCGCCAAGAGAATAATCTCTCTCCCTTCCATTTTGAAATCAGAAATAGAGCAGTGGCAAAGGTTTACATTTTGAGAATTTAAAGACGAATGAAGGGTAAAATAGTTTTTTTTTTTTTTTTTTTTTTAGCAATTGTCGATGGTTGTCAATATAGGACTGCCAACGGGCTGGGTCTGGGTCAGAATCGGAATGACTCAACATGAAATGTTGAGGACCCGGATATGGACCCGGACCCAATAGGGTTTGTAATTTTTGGACCAGAACAAAATTGATCGGTTCTCGAGACAATTGGGTCTAACCCAATAGACTTGATTATAATAAATAAAAAATAAATATTTATGTATAATATATATATAATTTATTTATTTAATATATTATACATTATATATATATATATATATATATATATATATTCTAAATCGATAGTAATTGGGACCCTATATTAGGACCCGGAATTGACCCATTTCCTAGAACTAGAACTAACACAATAGGTTTGGGTCCATCGGGTCGGACCCGAACCATTGGCAACCCTACCTAAAAATTGGGTTTGAGGGGAGAGAATAATTTGTTAGTAAATTATTTCTAAATAAATAAATAATTTAGTAAAATAAATAAATAAATGTCTATTAAAATCTTTCTCTCAATGTCAAATCTCCTTTCTTTTACTAGTTTATTAAATAATT